CGCGAAGTCGAGCACTTTACGGTAGCACAGTTTAACGAGGACCAATACCGCACACCCTCGGTCCCTACGCAGACTGATCCAAGTGGTCACCCACCCGCACACTGACCGCAGCCAGTGATGCTTGTTCGGGAATGAGTGGAGAAAACCAGAGAAGTTACAACTGTAAAATACCTAACCACCTAGACTCAGAATACTCTCCGTGATGATTATGTATAGTGCATAAAGAAATGAGAAAAAGAGAGTATGAAATTTCTCGTTTAATTGTAAAAATTGGGTTGAATTGGGAAAAGGCTCATTTTAGGCTTTTTTCATTTTCATTAAACATGAATTTTAAACTGTGTCCATTTTCTTAATCACGCCTTTTGGGATGCGTCTGTAGTCGAGAATGACCGAAATCAAGTGAATGTCAATAATCACATACTCGCTTTGGTGAATGTCCGAAATATTTGTTACATCCGATTTGATATTACTAATTTATTCGATGATATTTTATTTATTCGATATTTTAATATCTGCTGAAGATAGATTAGGAGAAACTTCAGTCTTCGGGAGACCGGTTAAATGCATGCTGGGCAGTGGCACTTGACATTAAATAAAAACATTGATGTAGGGCATACCGGGCAGTGACACTTAACAAGACCTAGTATATATTTCAGACATTTACCAAAGTGACTGTGTGATTGTCAACATCCACCGGTGGAAGTAAACAACCACCAATTTCGGTCACAGATTCGGTTTACAGTAACACATAATACGATATCTAAGATAAAGCTCGAGGGGGGAGTGAAGAAGTAATACATCACGTAATAGAGTATTTGGGGTGAGTTTTTTTGTTTTTTAATCATATCTCGTGACAGAGATGAAAATAAGTTTTAATACTTCTGCTAAAATGTCCCGAACTCATACTTACGGTTGTTTGCGTGATTTAATAGCTCCCGGGCTGGGCAATAGCACTTAACCATAAAAAAAAACATTGATGTAGGACATACCGGGCAAATGTATGCGGGGCGGCGGCTCTGAACCTTAAAAAAAAACATTGATGTAGGTTATACCGGTCTGTGGCACTTAACTAGACCTAGTATGTATTTCTATACTAAGACCTATAGACATTTACCAAATCGACGATGTGATTGTTAACATTCAGCAGTTTAAGTCAACCGGTTTCAGTCATTCACAGTAAAATATCTATTTTCTTGAACACGCATTTCGATATGTGCCCAGAATATCGATTTCACCGGCGCTTTGTTCTTTCATCACCGCGCTGTTTCTTCTACTCCGTTTTCAGGCAAACTTTATCAGGAGCGTGGTACGTAATTGGTTCTTTCCGTCACGTGGTAATTTTCGTCCATCTGAGCAAGACAAGGTTCTCCATTCCCCTGTTTTTAAGCATTGTTTTCTGTGGAAAAAATTGCTTTTTAAAAAAAGAAATCATACTTGTTTGAGGCCATTTAGCATCTTTGTTCGAATGCATTCTTCGTCACATTGATCGTCTGCTACTTGATTCAGTGCTTCGTAAGAGATGAAGAATTCACAAGACTATATCAAGAAAAATTCCATTGAGTCAAGAGAATATCTAATTTGGTAGTCAAACATCTAAACTCTTTGTAAAGTAGTAGGAAATACAACGTTTTTAAAATTTGATTTACCCACTTATGATATGTGGTGCCATCTGCTGCTAATTTCAGAAAATACAAAAATAAATAATTATAAATATATATAAAAAAAAGAAACAGTAAACGGCTTTGTTTACATAAATGTGGGTATAGTTTGTCTGAAGTAAGAACTCCCCTAGCCATTTGTCTGGACCAGTGGTGATGACTGTGGTAACGAGGCATAACTATTTCAAGTAAGGGTGTGGGGTCATTAATTAGGACAGGTTTTGGCTGTGGTCAGAGAGAAAAAGGAAATCTTTTTCTTCTGCCTATTGTGTTAACCCTAGATTGAAGAGAAGCTACCCTCTCTGAAATGCGCTATTCTTGTTTCCACAGCAGCAAACGGCCTCAGACTTTGTGACTACCGTAGACAAACTTTAAATGGCTTTGTTTACATAAATGTAGGTAACAGTAAAGGTAAGTGTGGGGTCAACACTAAGACACTATTTTTCTCTTATGCAACATGCGTTCATTCATTTTATCATTTCTCATTTGTACTTATATACACAGAATTCATAAACTCGGTTGTTTATAAACTTAAAAGTTCAAGCTTCTGTCCGATTTGTTAGAGTAGGTAAAAATATCACCTCCACATTCCTTTCCAAAGAAATGCGCTTAAAAATCGATTTAATTTTAAGTAATAAGCGAAATGAATTTATTTTTAAAAATCAATATTAATGCCAAAAATATTTAACTTCGCATTACAAGAAAAAAAATTGCACAATAAATGGCTGATTTAAAATAGTTATAATAATACATATAATGTTTTTTGTTATAGAATAAATTTAATTTTAGGCAAGTTGCACAAATTATATTGCATAAATATTAATTAGCGATCGTTGTTATTGGTTATTGAATAAAAAAGTTACACATAATTTAGGTTAAGAAGTAATCGGTTATAGTCAGGTTAAAAGAAGTAAACTCTCTTTACTGTGTGAGTGAATGAACTGAGGACTTTCTGAAATATCCTAAGCGGAAAAAAAAATTACTGGAAATAACTAGATAGTTTTTTTCAAAACGATAAAATTTTAGTAAGATTGAAATTTCTCAGAATTATTAAAAATTCAAAAATTATTTTTCAAGTAAATAAAAAAAAAACGTATGGGTGTTTGGGTTCACGACTGCTAATGTTCAACTACGTAGCCTTGTAATTTTGAACACAATCCAGAAGACAAGGGAACTCCTGGATCAAATAGAGGGAGCAATTTGACATCGTGGTGGACTTTTTGATGGGATTAACCCGCTTTTGCTTTACGTGTAGTGGAAAATCACGAAAATCTCCCACGGTTTACCTGACGACAAGAGAATTCTAACCCTTTATCCGTCTACCATAGAGGATATTTTACGTCAGCACTGCAGTCGGTGCGAGCCGGGTGCGGCATTCGTATCGACCAGACATTGCTGGGATTTGAACCCGGTTCACCTCAATAGAAGGCGAACGTAATATACCCTGAAATACCACGGCTCCTGGTATTGTAATTGCAAAAAATTGTGTGTGTATATATATATATATTGTGTGTGTTACTGTGACTGACCGAAATTGGTGGTTGTTATCTTCCACCAGTGAATGTTAACAATCACATAGTCGCTTTGGTAAATGTTTCAAATATATACTAGGTTAGGTCTAGTTGAGTGCCACTGCCCGCTATGCCCTCACATCAATTTTTTTAAGGTTTAAGGTTCAATGCCACTGCCCACTGTGCATTTAACCGATAATCCGAACACTGATGTTTCACCTGACATATATATATATATATATATATATTATTTGCCTTGATCTGGCTATTATTAACACCCATTTATCTGCCGATTTTATAATTCGAATTGAACTTATTATGAATGTTGAAATACAAACTTTTCTGCCACTAATAAATATTTAATATGTTAGATCAAAGGGTGTAAACAATTTTGCAGGTTTTAAATGAAATAAATAAGCATTAAAATTAATAAAGTTTTAGAATAAACTTACCTCAGAATAACAAACTTGCATGTTTTTGTCATTATCCCTCTAATTGTAGCCGAAACATTTAAATGACACCGGTTGTATAACACAATTCCATTCACCTATAGCGGAAAACATTGAGTCAAATTTAAGATGACTGAAATTTCAAAATGAATATATTAAATAAGAAATTGAAAACTATAGAGGAAGATATTGAATATATAATTTTGAAAATTGCAAAGTATCCAGTATTTTATCGTAGATAGTAATATTTATTTTTTGACTATTAAGTATCTCAAAACAATTACACATATAAGAATTATTTATACGAAATTATTCTAAGCCATTTCTAATTAATAAATAGAAAACAGTGGTACATTTAGCTATGTCCCAAATTTTTCTTTCTCATTTAAACACCTGTTAGTTTAAGACATAAAATTATATTAATTAATTTACACAAAGTTATACAAATATTTTAATTATCTATTGTATTTACTCAAAGTTATCTAAAATAATTTTCAATTATATAGAAGAAGCTGCGACCAACTTCATTAAGATGTGATTTATATTTTCCCCTCTCATTTAAAATATATGTTTCTCAGTTTCAAAGTAAAGAAATATAAGAATTTTTAAATTATTACATGAAAAACATAATGATTATTAATAAACAATACATAATCTTTATCATAAATAGATATCTTAATGAATATAAATTCTGTCAAGAATGATACTAAAAATGAAATGATTAGCAAAGAAAGAACAAATATAAGTTTTATAGAAATAATAGGACATTACTACCAAAAAGCCAAATAAAAAAGAAGAAAAAATGGATGTTTTTAAAAAATGTATTCAAATTAAAATTTTTAACAGTTATCTGTCATTGGTCATTTTTTCATAATCTACATTATGATTCAGCATTACCAATCAATGAAATTACATTTTCTTTACACTGTAATGGGTTATAAAATTAAAAAGAAATAAATTTTTATAATTAGAGGATATACTAATTTTTATNCATATATATATATTATATATCATATTATATATTATATTATGGATTATATTATATATCATATACATATCTCACACTTTAAAATTCACACCCTATCTTTAAATCCTTTTTTCGTTCAAGTATGCATTAATTAACATTTTAACGATTATCCCTTTAACTATTTCGTGGGAAAGGTTTTTTTCCCTGGACCTATTACAATTACTAAGATTTCCCTTATTTCCTAAAACGAAACATTTAAGGGATCTATTTTGCAAGATTTTCCCGAATTTTATTGAGGAGCACAACGATTTTGTGTAAGTTGTAGGCTAGCTCTTTAGAAATATGTCTCAATAAATAATATTTACGCATAGCCTGGTGCCTGAAACTTGCTTATTTAAACTTGCTTACACCACTTGACGGCATGTATATACAGTCAAACCCCGCTATAGTGAACCTTCAATGGACCGAAATTCACTATAACCGGGAGTTCACTATATCCGTTACGCAGGTAATTTAACTAATGGTTCCCAAATTCCTCAATTTTACTACACATTATTCAAATAAATGACTGAAAAATATTATGTAGTTGCAAAAAATGTGTTATTTTTCATTACTCTTCGTCTCCGTACAAAATTTTTTTTTTGTAAACTTTAGCTGATGAGCAATCCTCTATATCAGACATGGAAATACTTCCCGACTTTCAGATAATTTTTCCTGAATTTCTGTTATTCCGCTTTTTAAACCTGTCTAATCTGCCATTCGAGCACATAAAAGTAGTCTTATAAAATCGCTTAGCAAATTCATCGGCATTTGTCCAGATACTGGAAGATTGCAGTTTCTTCGATTGCTGAACCACTTCAGTAATGCTTCTTCAACATCCATGTGATCTGCTTTTCTCAATTTTCTTCTGCCATCTAAATTTCTTTCAGGAGCAGAAATTATTAATTGCCTATTTTTCCATATGTTACAAACTACAGATTTGGATAGTTTATATTCCCTGAAAATATCAGCTTGATTGCATCCATTTTTAATTTTTTTGATTATGCCCATTTTATCAATGAAGAACGTTTTACCTTTGCTGCTCGCCATAGTTAAATTTGAGACACTTGTTTGCAGGATTTTTTTTAACTGAACTGAGATCAAAAAGGAGTTGAAATGAGGGCCTTATCAACACATATTAGTGTCCAACCCTTTGACCAATAATGAATAATTACTTATTCCCTCTGACTCATTACAGGTGCATCATTTGCCTGGGTTGGAAACATCTGCTTGGTTTGTTTAGGGATGGGAAAGTGAGATAAAAGAAGCAAACAAGAAAAAATGCTTATCGCTAAATTCCCCTCTATAGATAGTTTTAAAAAACGGTATATGTATGTATTTTGAAGTAGAAATTTCAAAATTATTACAAAAAAATGAAGAAAAAATTAGTCGAAGACAGAAAAAAGTTCATTATATCCACAAAAAATAGCATTCTACGTGTATAGCAAGGAACGTGACGAAACATTTCGTTTACTATATCCAGGAGTTCACTATGAACCGTGTTCACTATAGCGGGGTTTGACTGTGTATATATATATATATTATGTATATATATATATTGCATATATATACACACCTAATTTCGAGATTGTTGTGTTGTTGAGAGAAGATAGTTAATAAACGATAAACCGTAATAATTTAATTACTGTGTTTTAAAAATAGTAGGTATTTCTTACTTTGTCTTCACATTTTGTTGTTCTGACCACACCAGGCGCACATAAATCTCGGGTACACACTTTATAGGTGAGCAAATCTTTCAACATGTCGATCACAGCTTTCTCATCTTGTTTGGACACATCAAAAACGGCACTGGATATGAACTTATGACCAGCCAATTCATATACTGTAATAACAATTATAATAATTCATAAATTTATCAGGTTTTCCTAGCTTCCTTACACCCTTGCTAAAAAAATCTCATTTCGTACTTAATTATCTGATGAATTTATTGACAGTGTTATATATTTTAAATAAAGGTGTGGTGAGTTGAATTTTTATCACTGCTCTTCCACTCACCGAGTAGTTTGCGTTCGTAAACTTTGTTCAAACCTTCTGGTGTTGCAAGAGAACGGTATTTGCATTTGTAGGTGCCACTGTCTCCGACATAGGCGTTGGTCACTTCCAAATCGTCATTGTCCAACTTGGTGAATCTGGCATTGATGATTTCCCTGCCTTCCTCGTCTGTCCATACAACTGATCCCTCCATTCTGGACTCGTCTTTTGGTGTGCAGGTCATCCTGAAGGTCGACCCTCGAAGAACAGCATAGCTGCCGTCTTTACCTATAACTGCATTAAAATATTAGTCCTTAGAACTTACTAATGAGTAAAGGTTTTTACACTTAAGTTTATTCGTAAGCTTTAAGTAAAAAGTGTTTTATTCCTTTAACCTGCGAATTAAGTTTTAAAAATAAGATAAATTAAGTTAAGTATGCAGCTTTTGTGTACAGTGAGTTCCTTGAAGTCTGCCTGTCATTTATTTTTTTAGAATCCTTATAGAAAAAAGTAATTAGAGTGTTAAAAAAAGGTACTATTTCTTAATAACTTTTATGTGGATGAGTTGCTTTTCACTCAGTAGGATTGAATCTTTATTTGGAACCTAACCTTAAATAGCCTAATTAACTAATGCCGATGATATTTTATGCTACAAAAATTTGCACAAAAAACGTACTTTATTTGAACATTGTTTTTTTTCCCGACGAATTTTTATTTTTAACTAACAAAATAGGGGTTTGATTAGTCACAATTCGGAAAATAGGGTTCGAGTAGTAGAAAGAAGATAAAGTTTATAT